AAGACCCTCTTCTTCGACCGTGCCTTCAGTCACCCTCTTACCCCTACGTTCCCTGCCTTCCAACCCTCCTGATCCCAATCCCCAGCTCAGGTGCGGATCCCTGACTGTCCAGTGCCTTGGGACTTCCTCCTGATATGAAAGGCATTATACAAATGTAATTTGTTGTTGTTGTACAATATTTGGATATTTGAGTGGTTTGATCAACAGAACATTAGTCTTTGTTTCAGGATTACATTGCATGAGATAAGGACTAAAAAGAGCCTGGACATTTTCTAGATATAAGGATAAAGCTTTCCTTGATGTTATTTTGCAAACATCATTAAACCTTCATGACATTTTGTCCTTAATTGTACTTCTGGCATATCCCTTCAAGTCTCTCTATATGATCTGCAGTTTATCAATGTGTTTTAAAGCTTAATCGATTATAAACCTCCAGCTTTAGTACTCGTATCAAAAATGCATTAGCTATTTTAGTCAAAAGCAAAGTCAGACAGACAGCATGTGAAAGATTCCTGTCAGAATACCAACAGATAATCCCGAATCTTAACTTTCCAACTTGTGCAAAAATTCAGTTGTTTGCAGCCTTCAAAAGAGATGTCTCAGATTGGACGTTACAGAAGTAGATATTTGATGCTAAATGGGATAGGGAAAGGAAATTAAAAAACATACTTCAGATACGGAAGCAGGATAAGATAGCACAGGTTCATGGTTTTCAACGACAATTTTAGGGCAGATGCCAGGACGCATTTCTCTTGAAGGTAATGAGCTAGAATGAGTTACCGGAAAGAATAGTTGAAGCCAGTATGCTGGACTCATTTAAGAAACATTTTCAACAACAAAATTACATTTGTATAGTGCCTTTCACATCGAAATTATGTCCCAAGGCCCTAGACAATCAGTGATTTCAGACCAGAGCTGGGGGTCAGGATCAGGGAGAGTGCATCGGGGGGAAGGAGGGTGTAAAGCACGGTTGAAGAGGAGTGTCTTGAGGCGGGTTTTGAAGGAGGCAAGGGAGGGGGCGAGGCGGAGGGACTGCGGGATGGAGTTCCAGAAGGTGGGAGAAGAGTGGCAGAGTGCCGATGGTGGGGCGGGCGAAGCGGGGACATGAAGCCCACTAAATGGAGGGAGCGGCTAGGTTGGTAGGAAGTGAGGAGGTTGCAGAGGTAGAGGGGAGCAACAACAACAACGTGCATTTACACAGCGCCCTTCACGTGGGATAGAGTCTTGGAGTGCTGTTCTCAAAGCACTGATAGTGCCTCGGTCCGTACCTCCAATGTTGAAATGATTTATACCAGGGTTTGTAATCTGGAAGAATGAGTACTTTCTTCATTTGAACCTCTCTTCCAAATTTGTACCCTCTTGTTCCAATGGTAGCAATAGGAAGCTTCTGCATGGACTACTAAAGGACAGATGATGAGTCTTCATCATTAGTGTGGTTGAGAATTCAGTGTATTTAATAAAACTTTTCTTCTTTTAATTGCAACAGACTTGCTGATAAGATCATATAAAAAACTTGTCTATAATAGTTATGAAACCATGGTTTTCAACAGCAAGCTTTAAGATATACTGATACACAAATACTAGGCCACTGCTCTATTCCCACTTTGTGTGGTGCGTTTCTACAATAATAATAATTCTTGCATTTGATATAGCGCTTTTTCACGTCTTCTAGACGTCTCAAAGCGCTTCACAGAATATGCTGTAAAGTGAATTGACCGAATATCTTTTGGGCGAAATGCGACAGCCAATTGCGCACAGCAGTGTCCCACAAACAGTCATGGATTGAAAATGACCAATTTATTATTGTTTTGTTTTGGAGGGATTATTATTAGGCGTGTGGAGTAAGGAAACTTGCCCAAGGTTTCGCCCTGACTGGAATTGAACTCAGGTATCTCACTTGCAAGGCGAGTGCTTTAACCACTGAACTACAAGACTCCAAAATGAGTTTGATGAGACACATACTAGGCTCATTGTATACTAGGCCTGGCGTGGAGCACCCTCCACACTGGATGGCGTCCCAGAGTACTTAACAATTGTGACCTTCACGAGCGCTGTCTCTGTACTGTGGGCAGGGCGGAAACCAGACTGGAGGGGTTCGAGTAGGGAATGAAGGGAGAGGTGTGCTTTCCTATCTGATGTACTTTACTGATGTGTTTTCCTCTCACCTCCTATCACTGGCTTTAAAAGGTGAAATTAAAATAATTATATTATTGTATCCACAAGTGTAGAAAGTTGAATTATTAATGTAGGAGTATAAAAGTCTTGAACAATGTTTCCCTGTCAACACAGCACTGGTGAAAAAGTAAAGATCTGTTTGAGGTGATGATAAGATTCCTGATATGCAGTCCTGAATGAGGGCCTGGAACAAAGTTATGGGGTTTTCACTGCCTTATATACAAAACCTGGTGATTATCATAATCTGAAGAGGAGGGTTACAATATTTGCTCCAAGTTATTTTAAAAATAGATGACTATTATACATGGTAATTATATGCAAGTAATTGCAATTGGCATCATTTTATTTGTAGACTCATTGTTCCTTTCAATGCCCTTTGATTTTCCACAGCTGCTGAAAACCTTCAAATCTCATCAAGACCAGTGAAGATGAGGAAATTGTGGCAACGTTTGCCCATCAATCATTACATTTTACAGACCAACAAGTAAACTGCTCATTGTTTATAAAGTACAATGTTTTAACATTCTGTATAATATGCCCAATGCAGGTAATGGTTTCAAGAATTATAAGCACAATGTATGGGCAATATTAGTCAGAATGCATTGTAATTTTGCAACAGATATAATAATAACCTTACATTTGATATAGCGTCTTATCACATCTTCGAGACGCTTAATGCGCTTCACAGAATATGCTTTAACGTGAATTGACTTTATTTTTGTGAGAGAAACATCAGCGAAATAGACATAAATATATACAAAGAATATTATTTATTTGGCAGTATATGAATAGAATATCTGAACTGTATAACATATAATCAGGTCCACACAACATTAACATAGCTGTCATTTGATTCAGCATAATAAACTGATGTACATTAATCAAAGCCAAACAAACAGGAGGAATCCCCACTGATATTCAAAAGTGATGAGTGCAGTGGAGAAAAGCATGCCCCCCCTCTTTTGAAGAAAGCCTTCAGTAAGTGGGGAAACCAAGTCTGATCAGGACACTCATCCCCAACAGTGAATTTGATACTATTGTGCAAAGTTACTGATAACATCTTCAAGTGAAAATGTGGAATGGAAACATTCATTTTTTGTATTTTACCTTTCATGCAAAACAATGAGTTTTCCCTCACGCTTTTCTATATTTTTATATTTTTCAGATTCTGAAGCTACAAAACAGCAGCTGACATTAATGGGGAAAAGGCACAGCATTCCGCCCATGTGAGTTTTGACTCAACAGGAAAGATTGTGCTTCAAGAACTATCCATTTAAAGTTCACAACAGATAATGTCACAAGATCAACTTATAGTCCTCCTTTGATACCCTCAACGATTGGTCTTCCTCGGTTATATCTAAATACATTAACCTCTAGCCAAGGAAACGGCTTTTAGTTAATACAGGCCCCCTGTTAGTTATCCTTTTGTGAAGACTTCTTTCCCCATCTGTTTGGTACTGTGGTTATTTGCTGCTATTCCTCGTTCTTCTCCAACAGCACGGCACCCATTGTATAGCAGCAGCATTGGTTAAATGCCCATCTAGTACAGAAACATTAAAGCAGCTTAACATTGTGCCACCAGAGGAATCACATAACTAAACTTTAAAAAATATTTAAGATTTTTGAATGGCAATAAAAAATTTTGAAACTTACCATAAATGCTGATCTTTGAACGAAATATTGCCTTTCTGGATCTGCCTCCAATATTCTTCTTTTAACAAAAACAGAAGTCGCTGGAAGCACTCAGCAGTTCAGGCAGCATCTATGGAGAAAGGAAACTGAGTCAACGTTTCGGGTCCACGACTCTTCGTCAGAAGTTCAGTTCAGTTCTGACGAAGGGTCGTGGACCCGAAATGTTGACTCACTTTCCTTTCTCCATAGATGTTGCCTGGCCTGCTGAGTGCTCCCAGTGACTTCTGTTTTTGTTTTCAGATTTCCAGCATTTGCAGTACTTTGTGTTTTGTTCTTCTTTTAATGTCTGGTTACATCTTGCATTAAATAATGTACCTGTTGCTGCATTCCATATCTATTGAATTTTTAACTGAAATCCCAATTATAGAAATCAGTTTCCCAGACCATTTCGAACGTGCAATTAATTGGTTTCCCAAACTCACTGTTAAATATAATGAAATAGAAGTTCAGAACATCATACATTAAACTAAAACTACTCTTACTGGCAAATCAAGCATTCTGCAAGTTTTTATGTACAGTACCATGGTATTGCCACTAATTCTGATAAGAAGTTGAGTTTCAGTTCAGCAACCCTCTTCGGTCTCAAAACCCATAAGCTCCCAGTAAATTATTAAAGAAATGCATGTTAAGAACGTTATCAAAATACAGACATCAAAATTAATATTCAAATGAAACTGTCAAGGCTTTAAATTAAAAATATCTAAAACTAAAAGTGCTTTACTTTGAGGTCACATCCAGCAATCTCAACAGTATGCAATAATCTAACATGAAGGACACATCTGATGGAAGTGCATTAAAAATGAATCTTAATTATTTATTGTGGAAGCACTTTGCTGACGAAAGAAAAATTGTGTTTTAGGTGCATTTTTTGCAGACAAAAAATGGCACTATAGCCAGGTGACTGTAAAACTGGAGACAAAAGTGTTCAGGAATGTGATTAGGCCATACAAAACTATTGGTCATATTGCCCTATCATGTCAGTGAGTCACCACGAGTGTCTGTTAAAAGCTAGTTGTTGCCAACAGTGATATTTTATACCAGCACTGCAATTCAGCCAGTTACAATCAAGAATCTAAAGAAGTGCTATAATCTTCATCCAAGATATTATAATCTGCTGAAGAGAAATATCGTACCTGCCAGCTAGAGTCTCCCTTGGGACATAGAAGTCTTCTCCTGCCAAATAAGCAGCTGCTGTTCCTCCTCCAAAGTATATTTTTTCCAGCAGATGTCTACTTTCGTTCCTTACCAACAGAGCTCCAAGGCCTGTTGGGAACCCAAAGATTTTATAAAATGAGATGGGGATGAAATCCGGCTGATGAGAGGTAAGGTCAAGTGGTGAGGTGCTCACAAAAGAGGCTGCATCCAACAACACAAACCATTTCCCAGAGATTCTGTTAGAAGGATACATATTTCTTAATTTAATGTCCTTTGTCCATGTAAGTGGATATTTTGTCCCTGAAAAATTGCTTTGGGCAGGATAGCAGAATAGATGATTAATATGACAATCTTCTTCCTCATCCAGAGCGATGCTGTTAGTCAGAGGATAGTCTTTTCGTTCTAAAATCTCCTCTGGTTTTACTGGCATGGCAAGAGCATCATTTAGAGTAGCTAGTCCTCTCATACCCACAACAGATGTATGGTTGTCAACCAGGTAGCAAAAACAACTTCTGGAGTTTCTGGGTTTTGCACGTGTCCATTGGAAACTCTCCGCAACAAGCTTCAGTGCAGCTGTGCTTCCAGAGGTGAATATGACACTATATTCTTCAGGGCTGGTGTTGAAGTGCTGTAGAACTCTATAGAGAAAAGAGACACAAAAGTTAAGAAGAGACAAATTATAATCTTGCATTTATAATCATTTTTGCATTTGATACAGTGCCTTATCACATTGTTGAGACATCTCGAAGCGCTTCAAGAATATATTGTAAAGTATGTACTGACTGTATATTTTGTGGGCAAAACGTGGTACCCAAAAGCACACATCAGTGTCCCACAAACCGTCCTGGATTGAATGGAGAAGAATGAGCCAAAGATGGCAGAGAGAATGAGGAATACAAGAAAAATCAGGGAGCCCTGGTGACAGACAAAGTATCCTGGCATTTTCTTTTATGTCCCTAAATATTAAATGTAAGTATTGTCCTGACCAATATTCTGACTAATTTCTCTCCCCTCCTTATCCCCTATAAAACAGCACATTCATTGCATTGTTTTGATCAATGCCAGCAGATAGGCTGTTTTGTTTGCCTGTAGAATAGTTACCTCCAAGGAAAAGATACCTAAAACAACAGGTTGTTAATGCTACAGAACTTGTACATTTTCTCCCCTTTGTGAAATAATTATTACATACCGTTTTCCTTTCATTATTCTACACGATTAACAACACAACTACATTTATACAGTTCCCTTCATGTAAGAAAGTCTGAAAAATGTTAGTGCAGCACCAATGTCAAAAGTGTAATACACCTATCAGTGAATTGGTCATAAAACAATAAGTCATAATCAAGAGCTTTGTATCCAAGAAAGAATTATAAAGAGGATGTCTATATACAATACTGTATACATAATATACACACATACATATATTGAATTGTTTATATCTGTACACCCTTTTCTTTTAATTGCCTATTCAATAAGCATCTCAGGAAGAATAGATATGTTTAACTTTTCAATAAACACGACGAATGATTTTAATTTGACTAACCGCTGCACTTTATGTCAATGAAAGTGTATGATGGGTAACTCAACAGAGATGGAGTATTTTCCATCATTTTATTTCAACAATTCCCTTCTAATGATACTAATAATCCTTGCATTTGATATAGTGCCTTATCACGTCTTCTAGATGTCTCAAAGCGCTTCACAGAATATACTGCAAAGTGAATTGACAGTATATTTTGAGAAACACAAGGAAAACATAATTTGCTCTTTAAAATATGCTGAAAAGGCAGAACTATGCAGATTTATTTTCTTCATCTTAATCCTATAAAGATATCGCTATTGACAAAGGTCTAATCAGTTTATTAATAGTGGTTACCTTCACATTAGCTTAATGGCCATAAGCCAGGTCGCATACCTCTGCAGTACGCTTTAATTATTAATTAGCAAGCATGGACATATTTAAAGTCAATACATCAGTTTTGGTAATTGACCCAGTTTATGATAAACACGGATTTCAAACTAGAATTCCTTATTACAGGAAAGAAAGTGCTTTAACAAAGCAACTGTGGATTTTCAGAACAGTATATTGATCGCTGCAAATGTAATCAGTTTTCTTGCTAAATTACTTTAATTTTTTGCCACAATCATACTGTTTCGAAGTTTCTTAAGATTGTAATTTATTTAGCTATAAAAATATCCTCAAATTGTACCACTGTAGGCTGGTCCCATTTTAATGAACTGTTTACTTTCCATCTCTAATACGACATAGGAAATATGAAAAAAAATCTAAAATGAGGGCAAGACTCTTTGACATTTTTATGTATTGAAATTTTATGTATGTGCCTTATCGTATTGAAATGTCTCAAAGCGTTTCACAGGTAATTATGGTTAAGGGTTATCTGTTTTTGTGGGCAAACATGGTAGCTATTTATTCCAGCAAGGTTCCGTAAACAGCAATGAGATGAATAACCAATTAATGTGGAGAATTGTTGCCCGGGACATGGGAGAAAGACTCATCTTTCGAATAGTTTCTTGGAATATTTCACTTCATTTAATATTGGATTGAGACTTAATTAATGACAGTAGGCAAACTTTGGTTTAATATATCCTCAAAAAGGATGGCACCTCCAAAATGCAGAATTCTCCCCTCAATCTGAGGTCGAACCCACAACCATGAGGTTAAGAGTGCTACCAACTGATCAAAACAAGAATGTTATAAACTTAGGAGCTAATAGGCATAGTATTTGATTTCATGGTCTTGGGAAATTAGGTTGCAGAGTAAGGTCCGAATTCCCCACCCCAGCTATGTTTAATGATAGGGATAAAGAAAGGAGATTCTTAAGATTGTTAAGACTAATCCTTCTTTTTGGTCAGTGTTGTGTGACACGTGCGGACACCCATCACCATTTTTTAACTGTATCCAAACCATTTGAGAGTGTCATGTATGCCACCTACACCTGGAAATTCCTGTCTTTGGAATGGAACCCATCCTGTTTATTTAATTCTGAAAAGTATTAGGCACCGATTGGCAAGAGTCAAGACTTGGGGATGCCAGAGTGTTCTGCTGGAGTTTAACTATTGAAAGCACTGTCTGACAAGCTTTCCCATGTTTGTCCAGCTTGGACTACCCTTATCCATTAGGGCTGTGGCTTAAGGGTTCACAGGAGATGAGTGGGAAGAATCCCTGCCCCCAGTGTCTGCCTCTTTAGGTCCTACCGAACCGATGATCTTATTGGCTGGTCTGTCATAAGCAGTATCCTGAAGCAGTATTGCAGCAGAAATGTGTTGGACCCATAACCCAGAGGTAGAGTCGATCATGTCATCCTCCTCCACTACCTTTTCTTCTTCATCCACCCCAGTGGGACTGCACACACTTGGTTCAAGTCCTACATAACCAACAACCATCATTTCATCTCTGTAAACATTTTTTCCTCCCACTCCCGCCCGGTCACCTGGGGTGTACCTCAAGGCTCCATCCTTGTCCCCCTTCTTTTCCTTATTTACATCCTCCCTCTCTGTAATGTCATCTGCAGACATGGGGTAAACTTACACATGTATGCGGATGACACACAAATCTACTCATCCACCTGCAACTCCAGGTCTGCTGTTGTTCTTTCAGCTATGTAAGCAATTCCAGAATTCTGGATTGCTTGAGTTGACCAAAGCGTTGACTAAAGAAAAATCGCAGAGACTCATGGACCTGTTTACCTGTTTACTTCAGGAAAAGTGTTTGCCTCAAGTGTTTGAAAGCCAAGGACAGTGGAAGCATGTTTCTTCAAAATAATTGTGGGATAAAGACTTATTTTGAATCAAGCTGTTGGAATGTTGATAAAGTTTGTCCGTGGTTTGCAGCTGGTGTACAAATCTCTTCACACCCGGGCACCTCCCTAACTCTGCAACCAACTTATCCCCCATAAATTCAAGTGGTTGATGCTGTTATAAATTATAAACACTTATTTCATTTAGCACATGTAGCGGCATTATTACAACAATCCTTCAAGTCCATTCAAGAAAATGAGGCCATCTTCTGTCCAGACAACTCTTCTCTTTTTAAATGTAATAAATCCACTAAATCTGCTGATCTGGTGAACACACAGCCTCACAGTGCACAGAACATACAGTATGTGCCTCCTACAATTCGATCAAATATTTATCAGCAAACTCACAGATGATTAAACAAGCATTATCATTTTAACAGTTTCTCTGATGGCGATCTGGTTTGTTTTTCTCCTGCAGTTTATAATCACAGCCATGGCTCGTGTGTGGACCTCGGGGTATTTTAATGGCAATTTTTTTTCTTTAAATTTATTACCTTACAGTATGCAGCAAAGAAATATTTGCTCCATTATTTATCCTTTCAAAGAAACAAATGAATCTTTATTTTTAAAAAGGAACAACCAGACTTACCCAATCGCTTAATCCTCTGAAATATTTTACATTCTATGAGGTTTACCTGGATCACTATTGTTTGGCTGTCAGCAAAAGCACCTCCAAAGTAAACATATTTGGATTATGTGTCACACACCCTGGGAGATTTAGAATTGTATCTGATATCTTATCAGAGCTGACGTCTCACTTGGCGATGAACCATACTTGGGTTTCCATGGAGAAAAGAGGCTCCTTTGCTGGCATGCACGCAGAAATAATGCTTTCAATACAGGTCTTAAAGTTTTGTGACATGTAATCTATAGTGCATTATGCAACGAAAAACCATGTAAACCCAATACAAGTAAATCAAAAAAAGAAGGAAATAAATATTCAGGAAAAACGCCTAAGCAGAAGCTTGTTTTTCTAGTACCATTTTCAGCCCCACCGCCCCTCACCCCACCACACACACACACACACACACACAGCAAATCTACCTGAGGAGTGAGGAGTAGGAAATTGAAGGCTGCCGCCAACACCAGCTGCGACATAGCCACGGAGCAGCGTGAATCAGCACCTTCCCTTTTCCATGAAAATCTCTAGCCCTTTAAGTCAGCCAGTCCGCCACTGCAGGTGGCGTCCTTACAGCCAAGAAACTGACCTTGATAGGATCAGAAAGTCTCTTTGGCCAATAACATATTTGAATGTTAGGAGTTTGCTGCTCTGCAGAACTTCATAATTGATACAAAACAAAATTACATTTGTACAGTGCCTTTCACATCAGGAGGACGTCCCAAGGGGCTGGACAGTCAAGGATTTAGATCCGAGCTGGGGGGGGTGGGTGGGGGTGTATCTCTGTCAGTAGATGCATCGTGCCACAGTTTGAACATCATGATATGGAGACGTATACAACTCAATAGCAATTAGTGGCGATAAACTTGAACTGTAATGACAAAACGCACATGGAAAATATTTGAAAAGATTCATTCAAAACCTAAACTATGCACAATGTATTATTGGAGATATTTGTGAGTAAGTTCATTCAAGCCTGTAACTTGATGGTCGGGGTTAAGTTATATAGATATAGCTTAACCTCAACAAAGATTAAATGAATACCACTAATTTCCCATAAATGGGTATTCCCATTTAACTGAAAATAGTTTTCCAAATCCTTTAGATGCATTACAGTAATTAGCCAAGATTGGAGTCATACAGTGGAAGTTATCAGATTCATGACTGAGGACACAGATATCAGAGGACACAGGCATCACCA